TCCTTCAGCTCTTCAGCTCAAGGCGAGCGCTCTACCACTTGAGCTACAGTGCCACTTCCGGTTTTCTGGTGGTTTATTGGAGATAGGAGTCTCACGTTCTCTCCTGCCCAGGCTGGCTTTGAACTGCGATCCTCAGATCTTAGCCTCCTGAGTAGCTAGGATTACAGGCGTGAGCCACCAGCGCCCGGCTCCACTCCTGGCTTTTTATGTGTATGTGGTGCTGAGGAATAGAACCTAGGCCTCATGCATGCAAGGCACTCTACAACTGAGCCACCTTCCAAGCCAAAGAATATTTCTTTAAAAGTTGGTTTGCAAACCTAACCAAAATCAGAAAAATTCCTAGTTCAAGCCAAATGATTGTGAAAGGAATGTTCTTGGATTCAGGCAGTAAGAGTTTTTCTCTGAAACTTGAAGGAAGGAATTACTAGAAATCTGTTCAACACAAACTTCTCCTTTACTTATGGAGTATGCAGTAATTAGTAAACTAATTTGCTTGGGGACAAGCTAAAACTTCATGTATATTTTGAAATGATACATATAAAATCAGAATAAAAAGTGGACACAGAAAGGTGAAAACTAGACATTTTTGTCTTTGGGAGATGCCAGACTTAAAGTGACTCCAAAATAGAATAAAATAATGACAAAATTCTACTTTTTTTTTTTGGTATGTGTCGGGGGGAAGAGTTTGCAGATCCTGGGGCTTGAACTTAGGGCCTGGATGCTGTCCCCAAATTTTTGTGCTCAAAGTTAATACTCTATCTCTTGAGCCACATCACTACTTCCAATTTTTTTTGTTTTTGTTTTTTTGGGGGTCCGGTCGTGGGGCCTGAACTCTGGGCCTGGACGCTGTCCCTCAGCTCTTCACCTCAAGGCAAGCGCTCTACCACTGAGCCACCTTCCCAGCCCCTCTACTTCCAGTTTAAAAAAAAAAAAAATCTCTGTAAAAATTGACAGTCTCGGGCTGGGAAGATGGCTTAGTGGTAGAATGCTTTCCTAGCATGCATGAAGCCTTAGGTTTGATTCCTCAGTACCACATAAACAGAAAAGGCTAGAAGTGGTGCTGTGGCTCAAGTGGAAGAGAACTAGCTTTGAGTAAAAGAAGTTCAGGGACAGTGCCTAGGCGCTGAGTTCAAGTCCTAGGACTGGCAAGCAAAAGAAAAAAAATGACAATCTTTACTGAAATGAAACTTCAAATATAGTTTATACACCAGAGTTTAGCAAAAGAAAAAATTTAATGAGAGAAGTATCAAAAGTATTCCATTTGTCTCGAATGGAATTTGATTTGAATTATTTAAATTTAACTTTTTCATTAGTCATGCAAGTGAGTGAAGGGCATTCAAACATCAGTTCCTAAAACCAAATGGAAAACTCAATCAGATTTGAACTATTGGATTTAGTAAGTTACTTTCTCAATACTGACAACAATAAGGACACTTCTGAACCAAATATGGGTAAGAGAACGAAGTTTCACCCTTTAGAGCTTAGAGAAAATGCTTACAGGAGTTATCTTCAGCTGGGATGGAATGAATTGCCAGGCTATTTTCAGTTGCAGAAACCTACAAAAAAAGAAAGAAAAAGAAAGAAAGAACGGAAGAAAGAAAGAAAAAAAGAAAGAAAGAAAGAAAGAAAAGAAGGAAGGAAGGAAGAAAGGAAGGAAGGAAGAAAGGAAGGAGAGAGGGGAAGATTAAGAATCACATTAAAAATAAAAGAAAAAACTGCTGTTAATGCCATAAAAACCTGCTGACTTCAGTCACTGGCTGCCTGGGGGAAAGCACAGGCACAGAACAGCTGAGCATTTAAACAGGAGGCAGCAAAATGTCTTTTATGAGGATATTAACATGCCTCTCAATTACAAAGTAATGGAGAAACAGACTGCACTCAAATGCCAAAAGTGTGCATCATCTCTCTTTATAAAAGAACTTCCTAACCACATCATTCTACTCTTAAAAACAAAGCAAAACACAACCCCCTATGTCAAGGACAGCATAACCTGTGGACACACACCATAATATACTCTAAGATAGCATAAAGTATTTAAATAAGGGAACTATTCTTTTTCTTTTTCTTCCTGAATCTCATTTCCCAACAAAATGTATTTTGTTGTTGTTGGTCGTGGGGCTTGAACTCTGGGCCTGAGCACTGTCCCTCAGCTCTTCAGCTCAAGGTGAGTAGATCTACCACTTGAGCCACAGCTCCAATTCCAGTTTTCTGGTGGTTAATTGGAGATAAGAGTCTCACAGACTTTCCTTCCCAGGATGCTCAGATCTCAGCCTCCTGAGTAGCTAGGATTACAGGCATGAGCCACTGGCGCCCAGCTCAGAATATCTTTCTATTAAAAGATTTTCTGTTAAAAAATTTATCTAAAACTGACCTCCGGTACCATCTTCAAGGATAGTTTGCCTAAAACAGGATTTTAAAATTCCAGTATGAGGCTGGGTGCTGGTGGCTCACACCTATAATCCTAGCTACTAAGGATGCTGAGATCTGAGAATTGAAGTTCAAAGCTAGCCAGAGCAGGAAAGTCCATGAGACTGTAATCTCCAATTAACCACCAGAAGACCAGAAGTGGTGCTGTGGCTCAATTGGTAGAGCACTTACCTTGAGCTGAAGAGCTGAGGGACAGTGCCCAGGGCCATAGTTCAAGCCTCAAGACCGACCAAAAAAAAAAAAAATTCCAGTCTCAAAATGCAACAGTTAACAAGATGGCAGATCTTACCCATACGTATGTATCTTTTCCCCCATAAATCACCAAATTAATTTTTCTCTTATTTTTATTTATTTTTGCCAGTTTGAGGCTTGAATTGAATACCTCAAAATGGTCCCAATTGGCCTTTTTGTTCACAGCTGGCTTTCTACCATTTAACCCACACCTCTAAGCCAGATTTTTGTTGGTTTATTGGAGATGGAGTCTTGAAAACTTTTCTGTCTGGGCTGGCTTCAAAACCAGTGCTCTAGATCTCAACCTCTTCAGCTGTTAGGATTATAGATGTGAGCCATTAGCTATCTTCCCCCATTACTTAAAAGAAATCATTTATTTTTGGTGATAGTAGGGTTTGAATTATGCTTTGCACTTGCTAGGCAGTTGTTCTACCACTGTCTCTCTCCTTTGTACTGCTCTGTTGAACTTTTTGGTATTCTCTTCATATACAAAAATCATGAAGAGTAAACAGGTGACACTTGTCAGGTAATACCCTTTCATTCACATGTTAGATTTTATAGGAGATATTGAGTGTTTATATCAGGATGTCTAAGGTACCAAAAACATTTACAATGAAGATTAAATTGTTGGTTGACTGCTCCTGAATGTCAGCATGGTCATTTTCCTATGATTTTTCCATTACAGGAATTCTAACATGGCATAAAATAAATTAGAATAATGACAGCCAATATTTACTGAGTATTTACCATGTGTTTGATATTGGACTGGTCACGCTACATGTATTATTTCATTTAATAATATGAAACAAAGCTGGACACTGGTAGCTACACAGGAGGCTGAAATCTAAGGATTGTGGTTCAAAGCTGTTTAGACAGAAAAGTCCATGAGATTCTTATCTCCAATTCACCATCAGAAAGCCGGAAGTGGCACTTTGGCTCAAAGTAGTAGAGTACTAGCCTTGAGCAAAAGAGCTCAGGGACAGTGTCCAGCCCTTGAGTTCAAGCCTCATGTCTGACCAAAACAAAAACAAAAACAAAAAACCAAATGTTTCTGTTTCAAAATAAAACAGAAAAAACTTACAAAAATCATGTTAAACATACACTAAGAATATGCAAGTAATGTAAAAATATATATATTTTTTTCTTTATTGTTTTTGTCAGTTGTGGGGCCTGAACTCTGGGCCTGCGTGTTGTCCCTCAGCTCTTCAATTCAAGGCTAGGACTTTACCACTTGAGCCACAGCACCACTTCTGGCTTTTTCTACTTATGTGGTACTGAGGAATCAAACCCAGGGCCTCATGCATACAAGGCAAGCACTCTACCACCTAGCCACTTTTTCAGGCCCAAAACGTATATGTTTAATTTCTTTAATCAAACAGATTGTGTGTGTGTGTGTGAGTGTGTGTGTGTGTGTGTGTGTGGTGTGCATGCCAGTCTTGGAGTTTGAACTCAGGGCCTGAGCATTTATGATCAAGGATAGCATTCTACCGTTTGAGCCATAGTTCCACCTCTGGCCTTTTCCAGTGGTTAACTGGAGATAGAAGTCTTACAATTTTCCTGCGTGATCTGGCTTTGAATTGCAATCCTCAGATCTCAGCCTCTTAAGAAGGTAGGAATGCAGACATGAACCACCCGTGCCTGTCTTCAAATAGATTTTTAAAAGTCACTTTAGCTCTATGCCCTCTGAGCATTTGCTGAGCAAAGGAATTTTCCAATGAAGGCCCATTATTGGTCAGCTATAAGTTGAAGAATTCCCCAACTGAAATTATGTGACCTGCAAAAATGACAATCTGTCCTGGCAGCTGTTACAAAATTCCCAGACACTGTGCAGACTAGAATTAGAGTTGCTTCTAATTTTAAGCATTTAATTTAGAACACATGCTTCCTTGGGCAACTAAACATCAGACTTTCAACCCACCTTTTCTCCCTCCTGATGGGAAATGCAGAGCTCAGGACCTGGGGGCACATTCTCCTTTTGCTCCAATTTATGAGTTTTGATTTCACCACCACTGGCTTTCAACTCATTCTACAAAATAAAAATAAACCATAATTTAAAAAAATTCTTACCATTCCATTCTCTTCATAGCACATTTTTCAAATAAACTTGGAATGTTAAAAAAAAATTCTCAGAATCAACCCCTAACACTCACAAGCAAAACCCATCGACCAGTGAAATGACAAAAGCAGCTGTGTGGACACATACCTCAGAGTTAAATATTTGTACACTAGTATCAAACTGGACACTCATTAGAATACAGACACATGAACGTGGACACACACAAACCATCCCCTGCATACAACGTTCTTGTGATTCACTCTTGTAGCAGCAGAGCTTGTGGAAATGCAAAGCTTGTGAGTTTATCAGAAAAGACCATTCTGGAGCAGGAGGAAGGAAATGCCAAGTGCCAATAATTAAGAAAATATACTGACCATACACATAAAGGCCCATCCTGGAAAGAGAGACAGGGGTGATGTGTACATATAAAAACTGAAATCATACTTAATGATACCACAAAACAGCCTTTTTGCATAGGACTTTCAAGAACATTTTCTGAACATAAAAATCATATATTGTACTAAAGACATACCTTATTCTACTTTGCATTATAGTTTAATCATCTGAAAAGGCATGTACTAATACTGGCATAAGGAATAAAAGTAATAATTTTTCTTTCTTGCAAAGGACACTTGAAGGCAGAAGGTTAAAATTAACTCTTTTCTTTGTTGTTGTTGTTGGTTGTGGGGCTTGAACTCTGGGCTCAGCACTGTCCTTCAGCTCTTCAGCTCAAGGCTAGTGTTCTGCCACTTAAGCCACAGTGCCACTTCTGGTTTTCAGATGGTTTATTGGAGATAAGAGTCTCACAGACTTTGGACTTTCTCCTTTGGGCTAGCTTTGAACCATGATCCTCAAATCTCAGCCTCCTGAGTAGCTAGGATTATAGGCATGAGCCACTGGCGCCTGGCAAAATTCACTTTCTACTAGATCTGTAGTCAACAGAGATTGCTAGTCAGCTAGCAATCTAGTACCTTTCTGTTCTTGGTGATAGCCACTGGACTAATTCAGAGAAATTGAGTGTGACTAATTACTCAGGTTTGCCATTTCAGATTAGGGTTTACTGCTCTGGAGGCTCATCTCTAAGGAGGAGCCTGCAGCCAGAACTACAGTACACCCAGTGACAGCCCATCAGCTGACTCATGATCCAACTCAAAGTCCCTCCTCTAGAGCCACTCCTCCAGAGTATGTTCCTAGTAACAACTGTATTCTGTTAGGGGACTGAGAAATTCTTTAGGGGTAAGATAAGATAGACTTTTACAAAACTTCCTCAAGGGGCTGGGAAGGTGGCTCAGTGGTAGAGCACTTGCCTTGCATGCCTGAAGCCCTAGGTTCGATTCCCCAGCACCACATGAGCAAAAAAAAAAAAGCCGGAAGTGGCGCTGTGACTCAAGTGGTAGAGTGCTAGCCTTGAGCTGAAGAGCTGAGGGACAGAACCCAGGCCCAGAGTTCAGGCCCCACGACCGGACCCCAAAAAAAAAAGTTGGTTTAAAAATAAAAAAACAACAAAACCCCAAATTTTAGGCACTTTCCACTAAGAACAGGTCCTTTCAACACTAGAACAAACATTGTTGTTCTGTTGATGAATGTCCTAAACCAAAAGCTGTGTTTTAAGTTCTTTCTACAAGTAGGGTTGTCAGGAGGTTTTCTCACCTGGTGCCACAAAGAGAATCTAAACTATCAAGTATAAAGAACTCTATGCCCTATCGAATTTGCTGTTTCTTAAAGCTGTTTCTAGATTATGGTGTCTTTATGGCACCTGGTATTTCCAATGACTTATGCAATGCTTCAGTTGAAGTTGGGAAAAATGAAGGAAAATAAGGGAAGAAATCTCATGCTACATGTGCATACATGTTTGTTATGTGTATAATCTTACACTGTCTTTTTGGTGAGTTTTATAGTAGATACCCCCCAGATGAAGGTTGTGGGAAATCATTTTATAAGGTTATTTTTTCTTCCATTGAATGTGCCAACTGCATGCATTCATTTCCTGCCAGTTTAGTCATCTCATGACACAGAAAAGCTATTTGCACACCTACTAAAAATATTCATTGGGCCAGGAATGTGGCTTAGTGGTAGAGTGCTTGCCTAGCATGAAAGAGGCCCTGGATTTGATTCCTTGGTACCACATAAACATAAAAAATAAATAAAATAAAAATCTAGAGTTGAGCTAACGAAGTACTAAAAAATAAGGCACATTTCTTTTTTTTTTTTTCTTTTTTGTCAGTCATGGAAACTGAACTCTGGGCCTGGGCACTGTATTTCAGCTCTTCAGCTCAAGGCTAGTAGTACTCTACCACTTTAGCCACAGCACCACTCCTGGCTTTTTTTTTTTTTTTGGTCGGCCGTGGGGCTTGAACTCTGGGCCTGGGCACTGTCCTTCAGCTCTTCAGCTCAAGGCGAGCGCTCTACC